TTCATTGTGCATCTGGGTGGGAAAGATTAATGTATTAGAAATTAAAATGGGACCAGAATGTATGATCTTGCTCTAACACTTGGCCAGACCTGTGTCACCCACTGCTAGTGCCTGAAGTCGACAGACAATTCTGCCAAGGTAACTGAGAATCATTAAGCATCCTGCTATTGTGCATGGTGAATAATAAAACTTTCCGCCTATTCTTTGCCTGGAGCTGACAATGAATAATTCTGGAGCTATTTGCAATGTTAACAGCACCTATCTTGCCCATCCATTCTTTAGATAAGGATGGAAATATGCATTTCAACAGTCTGTACAGATACTGATTCACAGGCATTTCAAAGGACACCTGTCACTCAAGTGAAGGACCTGTCAGTCTCCAACGTGTGATGGTGCCAAGAAAATGGCCAAAAAGATTATCTGTACTTTATTTCTCCCCTTTTACAGATTAAAACACTGTTACATTTGCCATAAACTGACAAGTGATTTACACTGGCAACTGTAACATGTTTAAGACTAGAAAAAAAAGCTATTCTCTTAGGCAGGCATATTCTTCCAAGGTTTACAACTGTATCAAATAGACTATCACAAATGTGATCTAGACCATACAGAATGTCATTACGCTGGATATTAGAAGCATTTAATCTGTTTGCTGACACAAAGGTGACATTGATAGAGTTGTCTTTTTGACGTCAGTACCTGAGTAAATTTACTTTTAGGAAAGAACACGTAGATTAGAATACTTCAAGTAAGACCAGGTTGTACAGGACATCATCATTAAAGCTGTGCGTGAGCCACTGAAGGTTTTTTGTCATCAGTACACCATTAAATGTACAGTTTAGAAGAGCGCATAAGCTTCCAAGATCAACAAAAATTCATTTCACATATTCTAAAAGTTAACATCCAACTACCACAGAAATCCTGCTTTTATAAAAGCAACACTGGCTTACAATGCTGTTTGTGTTTTAGAGGTATAGGATTTCCTCTTTCAGGAGGGGCCCAGGAGCTAGACCCCAAGAGGGCTCTTGTTTCTTGTCTCGAGGAGGAAATACCTTAATATTGAGACCAGAGTTAGATGGAAAAGCAAAAAGTTTATTGACAGATAAGAAGAAGGACAGGAAAGTTCTCTGAGCAAGAGAGGAGTCTCAAATGGGCTTCCACTTAGGAGGCAAGACGTAGGTGTTTACATGGGTATAATGGGCAAGTGGGGTTTGGCTGTTGGATGTCTTAGTGATATGTCTCTTGCTGATTGGGTTGAGGCCCATAGGGATCTCTGATGTTATTGAGGCCCACTGAGTCTCCCAGGTTACCTGCCCTGCTTTCCTGAAATGAGTTTTGATCCATTGCTTTGGCATAGCATTATTATGTTGATGTTCTGAACATTCAACTGGTTGGAGGCACCCTGATTCCAACTGCCTGTTCCTCAGTTAGTCTGATAAATGGGCTTGAGGCACCTAGGTTGGGGCACCTTTATCCTAACTGAATCCATTTCTAGCTTCCTCATTCATTGTCACACCACACCCACCATCAAGACACCCATAGTTCACCACTACAATCCATTGTGTTCCTTCCCCTTGCCAAAGAAGTTCTTAATATGTTGCTATCTGGACAAAAATTATGGCCACTTTGTTTATTTTTAACACTTTGAATATCTTCAAAGATATTTCCCTGGAATAAACACTGTGACACTCATTAGGATCCCAGTTATTTTAGTCAACAAATTCTTCTGACTCTCTCAACTATGGTTAAAATAGTAATTAAATTAAATTGCAAATCAGAGAGCTTCAAAAAGGTCTACCTTACTCACCCTTGCTAAATGTCATGAGAACTGCTTTTCTTACAATGCTGCCATGGAGATTCTCTGTTTTCCTGAATGTAATGAGCCTCTTACATTCCCTGTTGACCACAAGGTAATTCTTAAAAGACTTTTTTTAATGGATGTATAAAAGGAGGCTTGCATTGGGTATGTGAGGCAACTGGACTGTGGATTTTTGGTGAATGACCCCTCTCTTCCTTCTAGCAATGCAATTGTACATGACAATCTTTTTAAAATTAAAATTACGAGTCTACAATCTTTTCCCCATGCCAATCAGCAAGATATATTTTAAGTAAGGGAAGTATTCTGTTAAGAAATTGTTCCAAACTATCTTGGTACCAACAGATCTATCAAGGCAATTAGAACTAACTGCATTGCTTTGAGATAGACAGAGAGATACATATATGACAGAGATTGAGATGATGGTTTGATCATGGAAAGCTAAACATAATTTTCTTGTTTGAGTTTCTTAAATTCATTCAATGCTGTAAAATTGCAAAAAGTTTATTAAAATCACTTACAGTGATATAATGCTGTTTAAACTATCATTGAGCAGAAAATATGGAGATTACTTGTAACTAGATTTATAGTACTATTGTCTGTAAATATCTCCATAAACCACCAGTTCTCTTCTTTTATTATAGTAAATTTCATACAGTCAAAGTCATAAGTCTGACTCCAGACTTACTTATCAGAGACACCTTTTCTTGACAAAAGATACACAAGAGGCAGCTAACTTTGACTATAAACTCCTTAAAAGAACTAAATTATATTGTAATGTTTAATCACATACTACATGCATTCTCTGCTAAGTGAGTAGTTAAACAATAAAACTAGGTTATATTAATAATGCTCATTAAAGTGTTTATCAAAATGATATCAACAAAGAAGTAAAAGTGTTTATATTCTCAATCCCATGTGTTGAGCATTACTTATTACACTCCATGTTCTCTCTATGAAGGCCTATTTCTACTAGTGGACAACTGATCTAAAAACTGGCTGACAGTGCATTTATAATAATGGTTTAATTTTTGAGGCACAACATAATGATATAAATTATGTCTGCTGGAATATAGATCAATCAAATATCATTTCAGTAAGGAGAAAATAGTAATGCAAAGCATTATTTTAGATTTCTAACTATTGGATGTAAATTCCCTATTTATAGACCAAACCACAGTGAATTTTTTTCTGATAAATTCATTTACTTATGAACATGTCCATTGACTTCCATTGTATCAGGATATAAATTTGTTGATTTTATTAATTGACAAATAAATTCCACCTATCAAATTATACTAAATACTGGAGTAGTCTGGAGACTAACTGGGATGTTATTTGCAAGTTAAAATGTAATAAAAATACATATATCAAAGGAAGGGGGTCACCCAAATTTCTAGTGTATTGGACATGAGGTATGGGGAAGAGGAGAGAGAACAATACTGACTCCAAGGTTGGAAATATGACGACTATTATGAAGGAAATAAGGGGTTAAGACACAACCTACGAAGGTATCTGCAGCCACTGCTGCACAAGTCTGATCCTGGCCCAGGGAGCTACCCATATGGCACAGCAGACCCCTCCTGACTTGCCCACTGCTCCCCGCAGCAGTGTATTTCAGTCATTTTGCCTGTTCTGTTCCCCACTCTATCTCTGGTGAATCCTCTCACCCCCCACAGCTCTGGCCTGTACCCCAGCTCTTGTATGCATAAATAAATAAATCTTTTTTTTTTAAAAAAAGGAAAAAATTGATAATAGTCTTCCAAACCAAATGGTAAAAGTTAATGGATAAGGAATGCTTGTTTCCACCAGTCCATGATAGGAAAGATTCAAAACAAAAAGTTTGGGAGATTCCTTTATCTCCCATTTCTTGGAATATGATTGTACTGAAAAGACTGACACATCAATATGGTTAGTAACTAATTCACCATGTCTAAAATTATCAGAAGAATGGGATAAAATATCTTACTTTTTCTCAGTGGATATATGTGTGAGATGGAATTTTCATTCCTGGTTAGCCTCAAAACAAGAAAATTTCAATAACTTACTGATGGAAACATTTTTTTTTCTACCGTACTAAATACCATCTAGTTAAGTAACACTAGGCTATTATACAATTGATAGTTTCCATATTTTTATTTACAAACATATTTGTGAGAACTAAACTGATAATATTTATTAGTAGTTTCTTTAAAATTTTAATTTTCAAATTTATTATATCATTTATGTGTTTGTTTTCATGGTTACTTTGACTCATGGCAGTGACAGATTATACTGTTTTGAAGCATTTAAATAACAGCTAAATGTATTATTTAAATGCCTTCAAATTAATAATATTTAAATTAATGAGTTGATTAAAGAAAACTCAAATATTTCATAGATGGTATGAGGCATGGCAAAATTCACAAATGTTTAAGTCAAATGCTTTGAGACTTGGGGAAGTGTTAACATCTCCTATGATACCTATCAGCTCAGTCAGTCATGAGCAAGTAAGGATATCTTGCTGCCTTAGGTACCCCTGTCATCTAGTGCTCAACAGCTCTAGAGTATTATTTTCTATCCTAGTGAGACCATTGTCCTAGGCACTATTTACAAAGTAGGTTACAAGAATAATGTACTTCGAGAAATGCATAATTTTATGTAGGTATTTCAAATTTGTTTCAAGAAAACACCCAACAAACATGAAAATACTATCAAGTCAGTCACTTTCTCCTCCTGATTTCCAGAAATCCAAGTCTTTTCCTTCTAGGTGAGGTTCAAAGCCTCAAAATCCACCTCTCTCACAAACCTTTCCTTCTTAACAACACTTTATTTCATTGTGCTTTGTATACATCTCTTCTATGTGTATGTTCATAGATCTCATTATAGAACATTAACATGCTTTCTCTTCATTTTCGAATTAGTTAAGCAACTCTATTAAATTCCATGTCTCTCATGGATTTAAATCTTTTCCTTACCTAGCTTAGAGATGTAGATACACTTAAGTATTGCTGAAAGAAAAGGTATATACTAATTCTTTCTTTTGCCCTTTATTGCATCCTCAGTGGAATGGTTACTTCTTATAACTTTGCTTTCTTATCAATCAGAGTTTCATAGATGTTTACCCTCCCAGAATTGAAAGCCCAACATCTAACCATCACAGTTTATTATTTACCCAGCATAGAACTTAGTGGTACCGAGTTACCTTCTATACAGCCACATGCTATGCAGAGCAGCCCAGCAAATAAAAGCCGAGAGTCCATTGGTCAAGCAATTAAGCCTGTTAGGAAAAAAAATACAATTCAAACTTAGCTAGGATAACCTATGGTTTTTTATTTAGTCTAAATGGCTTATTTTGCTATAGATGGTCTGAAAACTAGGTAGTTTCAATTTTTCAGAAGTCATGCTGACTGACGTTCCTCTCATTTCCCTTGCTCTACTCTCTTTGCTCAGAAATATTAGCATTCAATCCTATTTAATTTAGTCTTTGATGCTTTCAGCTGTAATGATTTCCAGCTCATAGGACATCCTATTCACTACTGAATCCATCTGGAGTGACTGGAGAACAACAAATAGACTAGAAACAAGGACTGCTTAACTACATGCAGAATGCTTAGCAGTGTGACAGACATCCCTTGTCAGACAAAATTAGGTCTTGAAGAATTTCATTTAGACAGGGGAGAAAATCAAGTGACATGATTTAGCAAAAGTGCTTAGGGGAATCCCCAATTTTAAATTGCTTAGCTTCCCAGGTTGTAGGTTTTTCTCCATTATCATTTGTGAATATCAGGTGTATTCCACTTCTAAAAATAATTTTGTTGAAATTTCTCTCTCTCAGTTTTTCTTTCATTTTTTAATTTATGGAATTTTTTTCCCTTTAAGTCATTTATTTTAAAGTATTGGAACCTAAAATTAATTTAATGAAAGAAATTATATAGGCAAGAAATACCAAGAAAAAAATTAGAAAGCAATTTAAGAGATTGTAGAATGTTTTTTCCTCTTAAAAGAAGCTGACTGTTCATTTGGAAATCAATTTTGTTACAGTAAATTCATAGCAGGTTTCAAATGAAGGCAAAGATAGAAAAGATAAACCTTGGTGAGAGATTTGCTATTATGATTTAGAAAAATATATGTGTAATGAAAATAATGATTTTTGTGATCTAAGAACAGGAACATAGGCATTCTTAACAACCCCTATGGCCAAACTTCAAAATACATATATATGGTGAAGTTCGGTGAGGTATTCAAAACAAAAACCAGCAATGCATTTATAATCAATATGTACAAACATCCTCTGAATAACATATGGTGTTGTATACCAATATTACCTTAATAAAAAATAATACAATTAAAAAATATGAACAAACATAATGAGTGCCCTATTTCTATGATTGTATATCATATGTCTCTATCTACTATAACTCATACATGTCTTTGTGCCTTACCAAATTGTTCCTTACCTAAAGGCTGACATGTCCATTATTATGTGACCAGTAATATATCTGGAACATGATCAAGGATCAAAAGGTATGAATGAATAAGGGAATGAGTAAGTGTGTTGATGAGTGAAATGGGAAAAAGCATATCAATAAGCAGATTTATAAGTGAAATAGGGTAGTAAATAAACAATAATATTATGCTGCTCAGTTTTATAGTCAAATTTTTCTCCCATCTTTCCTAGCCACAGGACTCATTTGTTATAAATGTAAGTTCCTGGTTTCCACTACAGACTTAATGAATCAGAATGTTCAGAGGTTAGGTATTTCATACAGGAAATTTCTATTTTCAATTCATTTGATGTTTCTTACTTGGTTAGGAATACTTCACATAAATTCATTTAGCTGCAGTCTCCTTCATAGGTTATTTTTTTATGTCTCAAATAATAAACTTACTCAGTTTTCAGGAGGTCTGCTTTTCCTTGTCAATGAAAGGAATGTTGAATTGAGCTGGCAGTATAACTCCAACTTTTACAACTGGCTATTAAGAAAAATATGTATAGTACCTACCCAGGGGCTGAAGAGACTGCTTATCAGGGTAACTCTAGAGGGTAGTTGTTGGTTAAATTACCTTAAAGAATTTTTATACTATTGGGTTGTTGGAAAAAGTCATGACATATTTCTTCTATAACTTTCAAGCAAAAATGTGTCATAACTTTTCTGACAACCCAATAATATTTTAATTTTAATTCCCTCTTGCAGTAAACAAAGAAAAAGGCTGTCAATAGTTTTAATAGATAGCTATTCTACCCAATTCCACTATGGTCAGTGTACATACTCTGAATTATGCCTCTCCTTTGAAAGTTGTTAAAAATCTGTCTTTATGGGGCCTCCCCGGTGGCGCAGCAGTTGAGCGCTGGGTTGTGAAGCTGCCCGCAGCCTTTGCAGCACCGGTTCGATCCCCAGCCATGGGGCAAGGGTCCCACATGGCACACAGATCTCCCCTGCTGCCCACTGCTCCCCTGAGCAGTGTACTTCATCACTCTGCCTGTTCTACTCTCCACTCTGGCTCTGGTGAATTCTCTCACCCTCCCGCACCTCTGACTGTACCCAGTGCGTGTATAAATAAATAAATAAATAAATAAATCTGTCTTTATGGCACAGGATATGGTCAATTATAGTAAATGTTCCTTATGCTTTGAAATGAATGTATATTCTTCTCTACTTGGGGACAAAGTTATATTTATACAATTAGGTTATGGGTTAATGATGTTTGCATTTTCTATATCAACAGTACATTTTTGGTCTACTTGTACTATTGATAGTAGGAGAGATGTGGTAAAATTTTACCTCTGTATTTCTGGAATTATCCATTTCTCTGGTTAGTTCTGTCAATTTTGCTCTGTTTACCTAGAAGCTTATCAAGATTATTGAATATTAGAATTACTTAACCTTACTGAATGGCTGTCCTTTTATAATTTTAAAAATCCCTATTTATTTCTAGTAATATCTGCTGCTTTCCTACCTTTATTTTTAACCTATGTCCTTACATTTAAGGTGTGTTGGTTGCAAACAATGTATAGTTAGTCTTTATTGCTTTTTTATGTACCCTGCCAAACTTTCTTTTACTAATTCAAACCACTCTGTTTACTCTCATTATTGATCAATTTTTGTTTATAGCTACCATTCTACTCTGTTTTCCATTTGAACTATTAATCTTTTATTTCTCCACAAAAAGCATTTGCACACGTGGTTCCTTCTGTCTTTAATGCCCTTTCTACTTTTTCTACATTTACTTAGTTATTTTTCTAAGACTTTAGATATTTCCTCATAAGAGACTGTTTAATCTGTGTCTAGGTATGATTCCTAGCTATTCCCATAGCTTCTGTTCTTTCTCTTCAGAGTACTCAACAGCTATTTTATATGAATATTGGATTAATGAATATTTAGTTTTAAAGAGGATCACTTGATGATGGTGAGACTAATTATTTTCTAATCACAGATAAAAAAATGTTTGTAGCATAAATATATTAATGTATAGACAATAAAGCCTATTTGACCCTTCTTCACAATCAAAGGTGAAATATAAATAGAACTATAAGAAGGGATCTACACATTTCTCTAACATAGGATACCATCTCATTAAGGTACTGCTGTTATATTGATCTGACTTATCTAGTTACTGGGCATGTTAGGCTCCCTTTGGAGTACTTCTTCAGTATCTTGTAATAGCCCATTTTATGGAATGTTTTCAGTGTCCTGTGATATTGGGCTCATTCCTATATAAGAAAAATAGATTATACTGAAACAATTCTATCTTTCACACCCACATGGAGGGAGAGTAGGAATGACCAAGTTCTGGTTTATTTCAAATATTTTCCAGATTATTTGATGTAAATTCTTTTTCTACAATATTCCATTGTCATTTTTAAGTGAACTCGGCAAAGCTAAGGGCTCTGACTCATGAATGTTCACTTTCTTCCTGGATTAAGTAGGCAGTCAAAGGCAAAAATGTCCAATGACTCAAAGTTTCTATGCGTGTGTTCAAGTTTTTTCACTTTTGGAAATCACTCCCAGTACAAGTGGAAGAAATAATGATGTGCAATGTGTCCTTCCTGTCATTCCTTTGGAAACAGTACACTCTTCAGGACTCAACCTTCCAGAGATAAGCCAGCTTATCAAGCTCCTCTGATCTATCCCTCTACTAAAGAAAAAGTTATTTCTTCCTGTGCATTAACTTTAAGAAAGGTTATAACAAATAATACAAATTCATCAGGGTAAATATCATGGAAATTAGAAAATACTAGCTGAATAAACCTATGGGAAAGTGCCTGGATCCTTAAACTATCCTCTGTTGAGTTGTCTTGCATTAATTTAAATATAATCTGATGAGTTTCAATAAAAATCCAGGATTAATGCAGATTTATCAACAGATACATTACTTTGCTTAATAAAGGACGTAAAAGAATGACTCCTACTTTCTCTTCCTGGCAATAAGATCTTGAAATTTATCCAATAAATATTTAAAAAGAAAAATTTGTCATTTAATTCCTCAAAGAAAGCCTTCCTATCTATAATTTCTTAAAAAGAATGACTATTACCCTTAAACTGAATAACCTCTACATAGATGGGATTTTTTTTTCACATCTCTGCCTCTGCTCCCAAATACTCAACAACTCATATTGTTTGAAACTTGACTGCACTGGATATAGCCCAGAAAGGTGATCTACTATTAATTTTATAGAGATTTTTGTATGGACCACTTCATATAAGTGTTTAATAAAAAAGAATATAAAGGCTACCAAAAAGTATAATATCTTAAGTATTTATTTCACCGAGTATCTCCACATATAGAAGGTATTGTGAAAAAATTCAGTCTATATAATACCAATATTGGTTACCAGAAGGGGAGGGGGAGGGAGTGGTTAAATAGGGAGGAAGGGGGTATTTATATGATAAAGGACAGAATTAGACTTATGATGATGAACTTAAAGAGTATATACAATGTTGAAATTCAGTGATGCACACCCGAAATGTATGTAATGTTATAACAATAAATTTAAAAATCCCTACCAACATTCCAGATTTAGTCTATAAATTTATGAAAATGAATCACAGATAAAAGTAATTTAATGAGGAAATGAGGAAATGAGGAAAACTATGCCATAAACTTGTTTTAGCAACAATAAGGAAATCTATAAATTGTTTGAAGAAGACCCAGTTATTTTCAGGTATTTTAGAATTGTCTATTTCTACATAGTCACACTTAAGGCACTTCATTTAGTGCCACTTTTTTTTTTTTGAAGAGAGTTCCAAATATACCAAATGCTTCAGCCTATGGGAATTGATGTTTAATTAACATAACACTGACCTTCTCCCCTTTCTCCCACAAATACAAGGCCATGTTTTTCTGCCTTTTCCATCCATACCAAGCCTGCCTGAGAATGCTTACATATATTCCACCAGCTCCTTCCCCTTTCTTTATGTTCGCAGTCAGTCATTCTCTAATTCTCTGCTCCACTCCTGAGAGTTGGCATACGATCACCATAAACCACCTTTGCTTGAGTGCAACTAGAATCCTGGAGTCTCCTGATGACAACTTGAGCAGAGTTTAATCCAGGAGAAAATCAGGTAAAAACAGATGTGATAATTAAGAAAAATTCTACAGAGGCTTGAGGATCAGAAAATGACTGAAATGCAGAGGGAAAAAGCTTCAACTAGGCACGGGGCATCACAACTCTGGAGTCTACAGGATTTGTCCATGCCCAAAACAGTTCAGCCTGCTTTCCTCTGCAGGAGTACTATTCCCATAGTTTCATAAACCAGGCTTCTCAGATTTTCAATTGCAGGAGAAAAATCAGTAGTGCCCCCTTCCCCATTGTCTCAGCCAAGTTTTGATTGTTCTTAAGTATGCAATAACAACTTTGCTCCGGGAGCAACAAGCTTTGACACAAATATACCAAACACATTACTCTCCATTGTCACAAATCTGTCCATTCCACAATAAATCATTAAGCTATGGTTTTGATTTTCACATAACATAGCACATAGGATCACAGGGTATGGAGGAGAAAGAGCAAGAGGAAAGGAGGAGAAAGAAAAAGAGGATAGAAGAGGAGGAGGTGGAAGAGCAGGAGGTAGAGAATGAGAAAGAGAAGAGGGAGAAGAGAGAGGGAAGGAAGCTGGAAGGAAGAAAGGGAGATATTTTCCCCTCCAAAGAAAATTCAATTCTTGCACTTCTGGTTGTTATAGATTAATTGTGACTAACAGATTTGTCCTCCCATATTAAATAGTTTTCAGAGACTTGACAACAAAAAATGCAGTAAAATGATTAAAAGGTAAGGGAAATGAGTTCTAATGCATAATTGGAATTTGAGGTTGATGACATTTCTTCTATCAATACAGGTCACATTCTGGAATATAGTCAAAACTTTTGAGGATATTTTTCTTTTTTAAAGCTTTATTTATTTATGCATACAAGAGCTGGGGTACAGGCCAGAGATGCAGGGGGTGAGAGGATTCATCAGAGACAGAGTAAGGTACGGGACAGGCAAACTGATGGAAATACACTGCTGAGGGGAGCAGCAGGCGAGACAGGAGAGGTCTGCTGTGCCATGTGGGTTGCTCCCTGGCCGGCCGGGAATTGAACTTGTGCTGCAGAGGCTGCGGATTGCTTCGGAGTGCTGTGCTTAACCCCTTGCACCACCAGGGAGGCCCAGAGGATATTTTTTTCTTAATGGGGACACAGTAGCAATGATAAACAGAAGGAAAAAAGTTAGTTTCAAGTATATCAATCAGTATTTAAGAAACCATAAATTACTCTTGAAAATTTAGTCAAAAAGGAATTTGATATAAGAAATTAGAATCAGTGCACCTATTGAAAGGACTGTGGAAGTGAAAACCCACTCCAGAAATTCAGGAAATTAGGAAGTGGAGGTCTGCAAGAATCCAGTGTGATCACAACTACCTACAATACCAAGCTGCGCAGTTTTCAGTAGGATGTTCAGAAGCTTATATCTGCCCACTAGAGCAAAGATTGAGCAGGTACCTTTTATTGTGGAGTTTAACCAGGACTCTGATGGTGGGAGGGATTCTTGGAAATGCCGTTCTTAGGCTTCCAAATGCTGTAAATAGAAAAGAGGAAACCATCTGACAAAGTAAGACATGCAAATTATAAAACATATTCATTCAATAAACAATTTTGAGTACCTACTTACAACATGCAAGGTACTACACTAGGCTGAGAGAGGAGGCTGACACCTGTCTGCAAAAAATCACAATTTAAAGGCGAATACAGAACTGTAGTGAATACTATAGAAAGTTGAGAAAGTTTATGCTTGGTGTCTGTAAAGTAAATTATCAGAAGACAGAGAAAACACTTATGGAGTCCAGATTTTATGTTGTTCGATTAGTTGCCTAGTATTTTTAATTAATAATCCTTACAGTACTAGCTGCTTTGCAAGAAAGCATTTTCCACAAAGTAAATAATTCCATGCTTAATTAAAAATGATACATTGCGTGAGCCTCCCCGGTGGCGCAGCGGTTGAGCGCTGGGTTGCGAGGCTGCCCGCAGCCTCTGCAGCGCCGGTTCGATCCCCAGCTGCCGGGTGAGTATCCCACATGGCATGCAGACCTCTCCTGCCGCCCGCTGCTCCCCTCAGCAGTGTACTTTGTCAGTCTGCCTGCTCTGCTCTCCCCTCTGGCTCTGGTGAATTCTCTCACCCTCCGTGCTTCTAACTGTACCCAGTGCTTGTATAAATAAATAAATAAATTAATTAATTAAAAAAAAAAAATCAACCAGACCAGACCAGATACTTAAACCACCATAGTATTAAAAAAAAAAAAAATGATACATTGCGAGTGATATGTTTTCCTTAGATGGTTGTGCTGCTGCAGGGCTTTGAGTTTGTATGTGAACTGTATTTTGATGGAGCTTCCTCACTTGAGTCCAGACTTCAGTTATACACATGGGGGAGCTGCATTTTGTTGATTCACTCGGGGCCTGATATGTCTAGGGTCTGACTCACACTAAGCAACACATAACATGGCCAATTCTAGAAGGCCAATGTTTTCATTTACCTCAAGAGACCCATTTACCTCAAGAGACCAGATCACTGAGATTGGTTGTACAAACATGGCGTTAGCTTCTCAATAGGAAGAGCTAGTGTCCAAGAGTCATTTGAAGACTCTCCATTCCTCAATCCACCAAGGCAGTGGATCTTTTAGGAGATAATAATCCACTGAATGGACAGAAAAAGACCACAACTACTTGTCTTAGAGCAATGCATTGGAATACTCACAAAACTCTTATCCAGAAATGTATTTTCTATACTTACACATAACACTATATTTGTGTTTATGATTGCCATCAGCATGGAATAATTTCCAGAATTATAGTCTATCGTATATCAGTTTTTGTTTCTGATTGATATCACCTGTCGATATTTGGTAACAAAGCAGACTTATTTATAAAACATCTCCTATTGTGAATGAACTCTGCAGATGGCTTATTGTATTAGTTTTTTGTTGATTCTTCTTAGCTACATTTTGAGGCAGCAATATTTCCAACTGGTTTCCAAATGCTAGCAGTGTGCCTCATTCACTATTTGGAGATCCAGATATATTGACTGCAGTTAATATTTGTAATAAATAGTTAATATTTGTAATAAACCAATCATAAATAGCTTTGGGATATTTTGAGAGTACTTTTAATGAAGGTTATGAAAAATTTCAAAGCTACATTGTATTATTTTACAAATGGGAACACACACTGGTTTCTAACAGTCATGCAGATGTCAAAAATTGCTCTCATTACTCAGAGAAAAGTGACACCATATTGTAAAACATTATTTTTATCTCAGCAAAGGTTTAAAAACAATTTCATTCTGATCCTGAGCGCCTCTTATTCTACTTAAACTCTTCTTTCAGATGTAGTGATGTAGATTTCTATTTTAAGTTACTAACAGTTTGTGATTTTTGTCCCTTTCTCTATTTGCAATGATAATTGGCTAATTAGAGAGTTGATCATTCACAAAAAAAAAAAAAACAAACCAGCACTGTTGAGAAGCTGGCTTTGGATATGCAAATGTACTTATGTATCAAAAGGGATTATATTTAATGCTTTTCCCCCAAATTCAAGTATTACTGCTTTTTCTTATCTTCACTTTTGAAAGGTCATCAATGACATTTTTTTAAACACGCAAATAAAACTGTGATTAATTTGTATTATGAACTTTGCACTTCAATGTTTGTAATCATTTTTAAAATGTGCCACTATAATTTATTTATGCATAAAATCTTGGCCCAACCTACCATGCCATTAACATTCAGTTTCATCCTTACATGTGGTCATTAGCACATTAAGTTTTTAAGAATTATAGAAACTCTTTTAGAAATTTTATAGAAAAGGTATGTTTTCTCAAGGACTAGCTGTTTAGATTATCCTCTTTGTAAAGTAAATAGGGTATTAACCATATTTTTCTCTTGGTCCCTTGATTCTGGAGCTGTACAGCACAATTTTTTAATAAAGCAAAATTTCAAGAAATTCAGTGTCTTTGAAACAATCATTGTGCAGATAATTTTTTTATTTCTTTGTTAATATCTATCAAGTAAATTTTGTACATGCACATCTATTAATCTTAAGGCAATATCAACTTATTTTAAAAATCAATCATTTGTTATATGCTTATTATTTCATTCGACCTTACAAAACCCCTTTTAAATATTAACAATTCTACAAGTAAAGAAAGAGATTTAAAAAAATGAATAACTTACTAAAGTCATACAGAAAACAAGCAGCCAAGCTAGGAATAAGCATACTGCTGTGTGACTCAAAGTCTGTGTTTTAATCCCTGTGCTATAATCAAGCATCACTGTGGACCAATTACTGTGATGGAACACACAAAGAAGAAATGTGCCTTCGCTTAAGGAATGTACTCTCATTTCACAAAGGATAACAATTCTCAGAGTTCAGCTTTTTGGGGAGGGGGCAGTCTGAGAAAAATGTTGCATTGATTTCAATGTCTGAAATGCTCTCTTTTAGCATTTTCTCCTTGTTTGTATCAAGCCACTTCTAAACAATTCTTTCTATATAATAGAAGGTCAAGTTCGATGACCCAACTATCTTGGTTACAGCTTTTTGGATCATAGTGGGCACCAGAGCTACAGTATCCTATACAAAGGCTGGTTTAAAGTCTAGATTTCTAGTTCAAAGCTTCCTGCCATAGAGGTGGTAATGAAGACATGGTCCAATCATATCATCTCTCATAGAGAGTTTGAATGGAGAACTATAGAGAAATATTGTCAGCTAGTGGCCTGAGCAGGAATATCTAGTGATAGGAACAGAACATAAAATGTGACTAGAGAAACAGAGAATAACTAAGTCAGACATAATGATGAATCTATAGGAATCGTCAACAAATCTCTGTGGCAGAGGGGTCCTTAATTTTAACCTGCCAACTAGAGCTACCTAGTGGGGCAAGGACTATAGAGAAGAAAGGGGGTGAATCAAAGCAGTGCACAAGAAAGTCAGATCTTGCCCACCTCCTTCTTTAATTGTCCTGGTGGACATTTCTATCTTTTCTATCTTGCATGCTAGATTCAATGCCCAGCTATGCTATATACCAGTCCCTTCGAGATAACTTACCACAATGGACAGGAAAGACACTGGTAATTCCTGGCAAATGACTGATCCTTCAGAAACATTACTTGAATTTACCGGTAAAACAAGCAGCACTACACAGGGGCTCCAGTTCAACATTAAGTTCTGTTTCCACTTACCCTTTCTTTTCTCCTTTCTCATTTCTTCCCTCATTGACCCTTGTGATGCGAGTAAATTTCCCCTCACTCAAATTTCCCTCTCTTTAATTGCCTTCCGAACATTCCTGCTACACTTTCAGTACTTATATTCCACTTAAGATTATTCTTTTTTGAACAGGCCCTAAATAAAAGGATGCCAGTGGACTTAAGATTTCCCACATATTTCTTTTATCAATTTCCTAACCATCCTTCACATCCATTTTTAAGAAGCCTTTACTGATTACTCTTCCCATGTTTATTTGTCATAATCTCATTTTCTCGTACATCATAATTCTTAGAAAGACTAGCTTGTCACCCCTCAAGGTGGCAGTCTCTTTGAGGGCAGAAACAGTTCATTACTTATTTTGCATCTCTGAAAGTACATAGCACAGTGCCAGACATATACAGGTCATTCATCAAATATCTCAATTAAAATGCAATGTGCTCTGCCATGAGAAAGGCTGCCTGAACAGAGGCAATGATCAAATCGGAAGGGCAGAGAAATGCTTGAGCTGGTTTTGCTGATTTCAGACTGCCTGTCCCTCCTGGATGTGGGAAATTCACCCTCACTCTGCATGTGTGGTCGCTTTGCGCAACCCAGAAGTGCAGGTGCAGATATTAGCATTGAGCAGATTTGCACAAGCAAGAACTCTTCAATTTGTCATGAAAAGCTAGGATTCCAAGAAGGGAGGTGATAAGTTGAAAAATTAGGAGGAAATATGTTGTAAGAAGAATCTGGCACACCCCATCCCCACCTCCATATTAATGAAATGAAAAGGGTGGGGAAAGGAAATGTTATGTTATACATTGGCAGGAAAAGTGTGTGTGTCCTGTGAGCAGATGAACATGGGACTGTGAACAGGAAACTGATTATTCCAAAACATTATATTTCTCACTGGAAATATCATCCTGGAGGAAAAGTCCAATATCTCTACTTTTGGATCACCTACTGCTCTAACTTTCTATATAATCTTGGACTGGAGATAACAGGAAGACAGGCAATTACCTTCTAAGCTGAACATTTAAAATTAGGTGGATATTTATTACATGTGGCTATCCAGTCCAACAGTGACCTCTATGTAGCACCACCATCATTTCCTGGAAATTGCCTTTCTTTTTCTTTCTTCCCAATCCCCTAATTAGTGTAACTTATCTTTACATCTCTCTGTCCAATGTGGAACACTCCTATACTCCTCCCTCCTCCCTCCCATGCCCTACTCACATTCAACCACCACAGGAGTAAGAACCGAAGCAATCTGGACCGATCAGTACCTCTTTTTCTAAAACTGGGATTGAAATGGGACAAGATCAATTCTTTAGTGGAAAA